CCTTTGGCTTTGATACAACTTGTCACGATGCTAAGTCCTTCAAGCCCACAAACCGTGGCACCCTACTAATGGTTTGCTATAGTAGACTAACTTGAAAAAGCCCTTTTTCTATCTTATTAGTTAAGCCAATATGTGTTCTTTATTGAAAATGAAAGCGTTAACACGCCTTCCTTTATATATTCAAATAAAGAAGGAGGGAAGAGAAACTTGGAGTTCCTAAGGCTCAACTTTGTAGATTATTTTGATTTCAGAGATGGCTTCGAAGTGGAAGGGTTTTCCACAGATCTTGTGCTTGGTTCAGGTAGAACCAAAATTCAGGAGCAAGTGATGCACTCGATGCTTGACTTTTTTCGTTGTAATATCCTAACCTCTAAACATCATCCCTCAGTGTATGTATAGTGTGTGTGAAGGGGAGTGTTACTCTCCCTTAGAATGATGTCAAAAGAAAGGACAATGGGACGGTGGATGAATAAAATGTCAAATGTGTGTGTGTGAACAAAAATGCTCCCCAAAAGCAGTGAGACTTTTGCTTTCCATGTTTTACTTGGAATCGTATTCCAAGGTCGTCTTCTCAGGGAAGGACATGAATCATTTTGAAGGTGATTTTGGTGAAAAATAAAGTGTAAAATATTTTGTTGTTGAAGTTTGGTTTGTGATTTTATCTTAACGAAATTGGAATGGGAAATATGTTGGCTAATCCAAAGGGTTCACTCCCATGGGAATACCAAGTCAACTTGAATCCTTCCTCCAATAGAGCATAAATGTACGATTGATTCATGGAAAGTTAGGAACGAGATGGAAGTGAGGATCCAAGCATAACCCGTGACAAGTCTACGGGATATCAAAGACTCACAATCCTGTCCACCCTCTACCCAGTCAAACCGAACCATCATACTCTGAGAGGAGAAATAAAAATGAGTTGAAATGGAATAACCAAAAGGAGGTCTTCCTTGGACTAGCCAACTTAACGTCTTATCTACTCATGCTTAAGGTAAAGACAACAATGTATTGAGAAGACATTATGAAGAAATAAAGACTAGAGCTAAGCATAAACTAAATGCACAAATATAATTTCTGGATAATCACCTCTTACTAAAGATTGGATGAGAAACTATCCAATCTTCATGGCTTTAATAAAGCTAAAAAAGTGAGTGATGCTCATCCCTCTAAGTAGAGGAGTTGCAAGATTAAACATATTACACACGGAGTCAATCTTTGACAAAAAATGAGTGAATCACGTTCCACCATTCACGATTTTGGTAAAACTCTAGAAAAGTGGAAGAGTTTCACTCCTCTAAGGAAAGAAGGAAGCTCACAACAATGCAAATAAAATAAAGTAATAAATTAAAAGAAAGTAATAATACAATAAAAGAAGCAATATATTAAAAAATAATAATAATACAATAAAAGAGAGCAATAAATTAAAAGAAAGCAATAATAACTTTTGGAGGGTTATCCACAATCAAAAGGTACTCTTTTCAAGAAAGCAATGATATAAGAAAGTCATAATGACTTTTGGAGGGTTCTCCACTATCAAAAGATGCTCTTTACAAGAAAGATGATACAAGAAAATAATAATGACTTTTGGAGGGTTTTCACTACCAAAAGATGCTCTCTACAAGAAAGATGATACAATTCTTTACAAGACCCAAGGGGTGGTATTTATAGGTTAAAAGGGAGGGTTTGAATTATACTTTGATCCTCATTTATTTTGAGCTTTGAAATTTGCACCCCTATAGTTTGTAGTATTGATAATTGACACCCAGTAGTTTGTAGCTTTGATAATTGGCACCTCAATAGTTTGTAGCTTCTTCTCACTCAAGTAGTCTGTGGTCTTCTATGAAATTCACTTCCATACTCCATGCACAACTTGACTCTTTGCACTCAACATCCTGGTCCTCAATTAATTCAAAGGGGATGTTCGAATGTTAATTGGCGTTCGAACGTGGTACTCAAGTACCACAGTGTTTTCCTTCTTGGCTTGGTCCAAGCTTTTTCAATTTTGCTCCAAAATATGCAGGTGTTGTACAAAAGTGTGGTATTCATTGCTTTTAGTCCCTTGTACAATTTATGTCCTGAAATACCAACATGTAAACTCCATCAAAATATAATTAGTCCTAAAAAGGCATTGTGATATGCTGATTCTAACGACTAATCACTCGACGATCGCTAATCAATAGCCAAGGATATGTGAAAAAAGCTAGGGTTATTTTTCCATACAGAGAGATTCAATCGAATATTCACGAAAGAAAAAAAATCAATCGGTGAACCTGATAAAGAGGAACCTCTGGTCACTAAAAACAAATCAACAACCAATGTTCCTCATAGATTTGATATAAAGCAGATGAGGTTCAAATGAAAAGAGACTATAGTGCTAGCGATTAGATGGCTAGGGTTAGGGTATGGAGGAATAGGGTTTGGATTTAAGAAGAGAGGTAGACAAAGAGGAGATCTTTTTGTAATATGTGAATGATGGGATTTAAGGAGAAGGGATGAGAATAGAGCTGGGGGGAAAAGGAGATCTCTTTTTTTCGTGGCTGATCAAACTTTTGTCAAGAATTACAATATTGACTTTCACATTATGCGAGTCTAGAAAGGTTATCATTGTTACAGTCCTTCACTTCATCGTACTAGTAACGATGTCATATTTTGCGAGTCCACAATATTTATCGGGTGTCACTTCTTATCCGAATCTCAACCTTGGGCTCACTCCATTCGTGACTTCGGCCCCTATTCCATTGCCATTTTTTATTATCCCAACCATATCACCTCTTCTACCTCACCATTATCATCTTTCATAGTTTTGTTGAGGATGTATTCTTGGAAACAGAGACTACCTATTGAAGTGCCCCTTCGTCTTCCTTGTCGTCCTCTAATTCAAGTTCTTTTGTTCTTTTAGACTTATTACATATTTCTCTTTATAAAAGTACTCAATTATGTGTTACTAACCATCCTATTAATTATTTTATTTCTTATGATGCCATATCTCCTATTTTTTCTTCTTTTGTGTCTCAGTTATCCACTAATCTAGGAGTTATCCACTAATCTAGGTTGGAGGAAAGCTATTGAGGTAGAGATGTATGTTTTGCATCATAATAGAACTTGGGATCTCATTCCATTACCCCCAGTAAAAAACATGTCGGTTTTCAGCGGATATATATTGTGAAATTTCATCTTGATGGAATGGTTGAATGTCTCAAAGCCTGCCTTGTTACTAAAAATTTTACTCAAACATATAACATTGATTATGATGAGACATTTTCCCCTGTTGCTAAAATTTCCTCCATTCATGTGTTGATTTCTTTTGCTACTAACCTCAATAGGCTTTTGTTTCAGTTGGATGTTAGAAATTTCTTTTTGCCTAGAGACTTGGCTGAGGAGGTTTACATAAAGCAACCACCTATGTTTGTTGCTCAAGGGAAGTATCATGGAAGTATGTGTCGATTGAATAAATCCTTATATGGTTTGAAATAGTAACCGATGACATGGTTTGGTAAGTTTTTAGAGCCAGCTATAGAGTTTTGTGTGTCCAGGAGTCAGAAAAATTACTCTATATTCCACAGACATAATAATTCAAGTTGCATTATACTTAATGTTTATGTGGATAATATTGTCATTATTGGCAAACGTTTCTATTGCATCGATTTCACACTAAAGTCTTAGGCAAGGTATCGAAATTGCTAGGTCTATGCAAGGTATTAGCTTGTCATAAAGAAAATATGTACATGATATGCTAAAAGAAATAGGTTTACTAGATGTTATACCAGTAGATGAAATATAGATCTAAATCAAAAACTTTTGGTAGATGATGGTGCACTATTTGACAATTCGAGTAGGTATAGTATATTGGTTGAGAAGTTGAATTATCTTACTATTACTCGTCTTGATATTACATATGTAGTAAGTGTTGAGTTAGTTTATTGAAGCACATAGAGTACCGCATTAGAATGCTTTTATTTAGATTCTTTGATATCTTCAACAGGCTCCTGGACTTAGATTGTTGCACCGATCAAATGGGCATCTTAGAGTGGATGGTTTTATAGATCCTGACTGGGTTGGATCCCCCTCAGATCGTAGGTCAACTACGGGCTATTGCATTTTTTCAAGGGGTAATTTGGTTTCGTGGAAATGTAAAAAATAGACCATGGTAGCTCGATCTAGTGCAAAAACTAAGTATAGAACAATGACATATCCTACAAGTGAATTAACTTGGTTACAATACTTTCTTCAGGATATCAAATTTTCGGTTAAACGTCCTATGCAATTGTTCTATCATAATCAGACAATATTTCATATTGCTACTAATCTACTTTTTCATGAGAAAACCAAACACAATGAAGTTGACTATCACTTTGTTTGGGATAAGATACTAAGTGGAGATATTATTACTCCATTTGTAAAGTCTAAGAAAAAACTTGAGTATATATTCACCAAGCCTTTAAGTCGCACTCATCCAACAACAATTTGTTCCAAGTAGGGATTATATGTCATATATTCACAAGCTTGAGGGAGGGTTAAAATAAATTAGGGTTTGGGTATTATTGTAATAAGTATACTCCAAAGGGGTGTATTGGTCTTGGTAATCTTTTTACATAGATAGATATATAGTGGGTGTGGGAGGCAGCCTGGGGCCAAACATACACACAGTTATCTCCCTTTCTCTCTTCATTTACCCTAATTTCATACTTTAATAAACACTAAATCTGACAAGGTGCAACTCTTTGGCAGAACCAACCTTCACGAGTAAATATTCAATGTGGCAACGATACCATGTCTTTCTTGTCCAATATCAAATTCTATAGGTGCAGGAAATAGTTCTTACATCTTGTATTGGATATTCACAGGTCATATCTACCACCTCACATAGCAGAATTTTGTTAATGAATGTTGACAACATGTGTCCTTAACGACCTGAATATATATTCCTTGTTCACACTGAAGTGCCAAGCCATTGGTTGTCCCAAATAACTCCAAGCTAGGAGATTTCCAAAACTCCCTACCTCAAATACCCCGCCATTACTTTCCCTCCAATGTTCCTCATTCCATCAATGAGAAAGCACCATGTAGAACCTAATGCTCCAATGAAGAAATCAGCTTCAGTGGCCATCAAGAAGTTAACAAGAGGATAATTGATGCTGGTTTCCCTCCCAGGACTAGCTTCATAAGTTGCCATTGTCGTGTTCGGCACTTTTCGTGTCACATTTGTGCGTTAAACTTTCCAATTGGAGTACGATCTTGATTTGTCAATGACTTCCTGAAGATAAATAACACAATTTTTAAGCCACCTAAAGCCTAAAACCATAAGCAAAAACTAAATTCCAAGGAAGAAAAAGAAAAGAATAAAAGTAGTGCAAGACAATACAAAACCTGCATTTCAGTGGAGAGCCAGATGTCGTTAAGATGAGGAAAACGCTTTCCCATGTGGTCAGAAAGTTGAATGTAGTCTTTGAATTCTACAACCTTCATTTCACTTGCATTGTCTCCCATTCTCACATGCATGCTTAACAGTTGCCTAGGCATCCATGGCTTATGGCTTGACCATACAAATTCTTCAATCTCATATTTAGATTTGTTTCTAACATCCTGTAGAAGAGAACATTTTCTACTACGTGTGGGGTTTCAAGCCTCAGAAAGTTATTATGCTTATGTTTCAGACAAATATTGTAGTCACGATAGCAATTCAATACAGCACAAAAGCTATTTATTTGAAGACTACATTGCATAGAAACGGAGGGAAAATTCAGGATTGCTCTGATAGTCCTATGTACATCCTTAACAAAGTGATTTTCCACTACGATAAGCTTCATAAAATGTTACTTACCTTAAAAAAAGGTTCAAAAAATGTTTAAATAAGTTTAAATACATAATAAATTGACATACAAGTTTAAAGGAGTTTTATAAAAGGTCCACAAGAAGTAGACACCACGATAAATATCTTGCTATCAATTTAGCTTCACAAGAATATATTCCCCCGTGAAAAAATGATGTTATGTTAGCCTTCTCATGCAAATAAACAGAACCTAATCCAGAAATAGATCTGGTTAGAACAACCTATCAAGTAAAGTATACTGTATTCTTTAGAACCATTACACTTCAAGGCTAAAAAACTTGCACCAAAATGAGGGGATGACAGTGATCACAACAAAATGAAGAATAAAGATGGCATTACCATTCTAAACAATATAATGTCAGTTTGCATAACTGATTCAATGGACATTCAGAAGCTCAGAAAGCAAAGGAACATTTGATTAACAAGGACTAACAAGAAATTTCAGGTATTAACTTTCACCGTCCTCTCCAAAAAGTACAGGAAACAAGGTTCAAAATAATCAATCTCTTGCAATTTTTCAATGGGAGATGCAACAAATTTTCGCAGCTTCCCATCCAAATGCAGTATGTCGTGCAATATTTAGAAGGTTGCATGTGTACTCAGTTTGCAACCTCATTAGATAGTGCAAAGCCTGACAATGGTATAAACATTAATGAAATTATAAAATGAATACCCAAGGAAAGCAAAAGTAGAAAGCCTTGTCGATTTCTTGTCGTCGTTTACAAATACCACTTAATGATATCTATAATATTTGGATAGGTCCAGTAATTTAAAGTCGAACTAAATTTTGTAGAATCCATTTTTTAATATAAAACATATTTAGTATGAATATAAAAAAATGAAAAGATACATTAGACAAGGAGTCCTCTACACTATACAAAGAGAAAAGAGGAAACTAGCTAGTACTAGAAGACATAATAAAGGACTAAAGAAGAGAAGTGTTGTCATGAATTAACACTCTTCTCGCACTACCGTCCAATGGTCCTTACTTAAAAAAAATGGCATCCCTTCAAACTCCTTTGACGTTTAAAGCCCAAAGAGAATATCAGAATGATATTTGATCCCAAATATCTTCTCAAGGAGACTCCAAATCATCAAAAATCCTCCCGCACCTCTTCAACCTTACCACCCAAAACAAAGACCACACATTTCCATAAGACCTTGGCTTTATTGCTAAAACCAAAATCCTCATACTCAATAGAGAAAACCAAATTACAGATTTTTGGAAATATCCAAGGAAATTTCCACAATCTTCAAAAGTATGTTCCATAGATTAGATACCAGGAACAATGTAAGAACCATGATCCACATGCTTTGCATCTTTCTTGCAAAGAATGCACCATTGTGGGTGAAGAGAGTACGAATGCCTTCTTTTTTTTGAAGCATTGCATTGGTGTTCAGTTTCTTATGTGCAAGAAAGCATGCAAATACTTGAACCTTTAAAGATGCCTTACATTTCCAAATAATAAATGAGGACTTTCAGCTTGGAAAGAAATGATTATCCAACAATGATTCAAAGAGCAATTTAGAAAAAAAAAAACTCTCCTGATGAATGAAGAATCCATCATCTTTTATCCAAAGAAGATTGATTCAAGACAACATTATGAAGAATTCTGAAAAGATAAATTAGCTATTATTTATAAAAAAAAAACCTATAATTATAAAATGTTATATAATATAAATTATTATATAAATTAGAAATTCAAATGAAATATTTTTCATCCTTTTTTATTTTATTTAGAAGGAGCTGGATGAGAAGAAACCCTCATGTCCAGTTCTATAGTATAGATGGAATTCAGAAACAACCATCAACTATAACCCAAAAAAATTAGATTCCATAAACAACATAGAGGAAGAATGAAAGGAATATCTTATCGAGGTAATCATATTTGTTTCAGTAAATATGTTTTTCAAGCACTTGAACCTGCTTGGATCACATCTAGACAAATCGAAGTAGGTTGATAAGCAATGACACAAAATGCACATGGTGGTGAAAAAATATGGGTATAGATATTTTCAGACTAACAAGTTACAGTAAGACCCACAAAAACACGTATGGGTTCGGGAAAAGTATCTCATGAATATTGGGTACCTGTTGTTAAACCGGTTCGAATACTGGGTCTTAGAATAGGTGGCTCATACTCAATTTATGGAGAGGCCCACTAGTTCGAGGATAATGGGCCAGTTGTCAAAGGGTGCATACCTTCAGGATTTGCCCTAATTAGGGTTGTATCCTATAAGTTAAGTTGTAATCCTACTTTTGGTGAGGAATAAAAACAAGGCAGTCACTCTCTTGTGGACGTAGGCAAGTTGTCAAACCATGTAAAATCTTGTGTTCTTTCTTCTAGTTAATTATGTTTCTTTAATTGTTCATCGACATAAAAAATCACAACAATTAGTATCAAAGCTATGGCTTAACAATGGCGATGAATACTTCGATTACAAAATTCAATATGATGATGTTTGACGGCTTTGGGAATTTTGAATTATGGAAACAAAGAGTAAAGGAGAAAAAACCAGTGGGTATGTCCAATTTTAACTGGGAAGAAACCAGTTGGAACTATTCGGCTTTGTTTGGAAGACGAGGTTATGTGCCACGTTATGGATCATAATTCTCCAGCGATTGTATGGCTGAAATTGGAGAGTCAATATATGTCAAAATTCCTAACGAACAAATTGTTCCTTAAGCAAAAGCTATATGGGCTAAAGATGTTGGAAGGTACAAATTTGGTTCAACACATCAATACTTTTAATCAAATTATCAGTGATTTATTAAGGTTTGATGTAAGGTTTGATGATGAAGATATGACACTGATGTTATTAGTGTCTCTCCTTTCTTTATAAGAACATGTGGTAACCACTCTATTATGGGGTAAAGAAACCCTAGATCTAGAGGACATCATAGCGGCCTTGTTGGGTTACAACCAGCGCAGATTGAGTAACAGCGATGGTTCTCAAGGCGAAGGACTAGTAGTGAAGGGTAACCAGGATCATGGTAAAAAGAAAGAAAGGGGTTCAGATAAGAGGAATTCGAGGTTGAAGTCCAAGGAAAATAACAAGAAGAATATCAAGTGTTTTAAGTGCCACCAAATATGACATTACAATACAGAGTGTTCCAAGGATTGGTTTTGCACTTATTAGTCGGTTAATTCTATGTCTATTTTTATGGGTAATGATGCGTCATGCAAGCTCATCGGGATAGGCACTATTAGAATTCAAATGTTTGATGGCATCATGAGAACCTTGTGTGATGTTAGGCATGTACCAGAATTAACAAAGAACCTAGTCTCTTTGGGTACTCTAGACTCAAATAGCTATTGTTATAGGTCAGAAAGTGGAGTCATAAGTGTCATGAAGGGGGCTATGGTAGTGATGAAGGGTTAGAAAATTACCGGTAACATCTATAGGCTATTAGGAGTACAGTAATAGGTGGAGTTGTTGTAGCAGAGTCTAAGACAAATGATGCATTCCTATGGCGTATACGTTTGGCGCATAAAAGTGAGTGGGACATGATGGAGCTTCACAAGAGCAATTTGTTGAAGGGTTTAAAATCATGCAAGCTAGATTTTTGCAAGTATTGTGTTCTTGGGAAACAATACATTATGATTTTTGAGGGCCAGTCACGGAGCAGTCAAAGGATTGATCTTTTGTACTTTGTCAATTTCATAGACGACTTCTCTTGGAAAGTCTAGGTTTACTTCTTGAAGCATAAATCTGAAACCTTTGGCAATTTCAGATTAGGAAAATTGAAGTTGAGAATCAGACTGGGAGGAAGATTAAACATCTTAGATCACATAATGGTACAAAGTACACAGATGCAAAGTTTATGAAATATTGTGAGCAACAGGGTATTCAGCGGCATTTTATAGTCTAGAAGATACCACAGTAGAATAGTGTCTCAGAAAGAGCAAATATAACTACTGTAAAAAGAACAAGTTGTTTGAGATAAATGCAAGGCTTCCTAAGAGTTGTTGGGCAAAAGTAGTATGACTTTTTATGTCATCAATAGGTCTCCACGGGCAGCACTAGATGAGAAAGTTGTAGAGGAAGTTTGAATAGGTAATGAAGTTGATTATTTTGGGCTAAGAATATTTTGTTGTCCTGCTTATGTACAAGTGTCTAGTGATGAGAGGTCAAAGCTTGATCCAAAGTCCAAGAAGTGTATATTTCTTGGCTACCAGAAAGGTATGAAAGGGTACAAGTTTTGGAACCTCGAGTGTAAGAATTTGTTGATCAGTAGAGATGCAGTGTTTGATGAAGCATCCATGCTCTAGGCTTTTTAGGAGGATGAGAAACGTGAAGCAGATAACAACAAGAGACAAGTGGTGCAAATGGAGTTAGATGGTTCTGATAGCAACAACCCCATCCAGGGGTCATGTGGTTCTATCAGCAAACTAGAAGCATCACAGTTCTATTACACAGAGACCCCAGCGTAATATCAAACCACCTACAAGGTATGGTTTTGAAGACCTAATTTCTTATGCACTTATTGCCAGCAATGGTGATCCTACTACCTTTAAAGAGGCAGTAAATAGCCAGGAGAAAGGTAGACGGATGGAGGCCATGGTGGAAGAAATTGAGTCATTGCATAAGAACGACACTTGGGATTTGGTGGAACTCCTAGATGAGATGAGACCGATAGGTTGCAAGTAGGTAT